TGGGCCTCCTCTCTGGGGCAGCCTGGGCGCCTGGCAATGCCACATGGGATGGGGAAGGGAGATGTCAAAGGGCTCCAGAGCACAACGTTTCTGGCAGGGAGCTTCTGCTCTCTGTCTACCCCCAAAACGATTACAGTGAAGAGAGGATCTACCCCAACCTGGGAGTCGGATCTCCTCCTTCGCCCCTTCAGAGGCTCTGGGGACACCAACCCAATGTGTTTTGAAGCAGGAGAGGACATTTGTCCATCTGTCTGTGTGAAGTGCCCTGCAGCTTTACCTCAGCCAGAGCCCCTTGAAGAGGGGAGTCCCCAGGGCATGGAGCCGCCTGGGCTTGCCTGTTGGCAGATAAGCATCAAGTACTGCTGCTGAACATAACTCCAGGTAGGTGTAACCTGTCCTGTTTGGAGCTTTGCACGCTGGTTGATTGAAAGAGCTGTGAATTGCTGTTCTGCAGACCACAGGATCTGAGCAGAGCAGGCGGGAGGTTTCTGAAGTGGCCTTTGCAGCAGGGGAAACTTCTCCAGGGTCCCAAATGGGAAATAGACTCAGTCATCAGCCAGTCCAAGGTTCTGCTGGATTCCTCCTTGGTGTTTTCCAGGGAGCAGTTGAGCTGTGCTCACCGCAGAGGTGGTGGTGGGGGACAGGAGCACCCCCTTTTGCCCCATAGCAGCGATGCTTGCTGCGGTCTCCAGGAGAGAGCCTGTGGCAGTCACACTGCTGGCAAACAGATGAGTCTTTCTGTGCCTGCCCTGTGCAGCAGATCTTGCTATTAATGAATCTACCCACAGGATTGCCCCTGAATAGCCCAAGTTTATTCTGTTCCTAAAAATCTACTTTTCATTTGGGAAAGAGGTAGTTTTTTTTCCCAGTCAGTACCATCTGATTTAGTTTCTGGTCAGAGCAAGCTTCTATCTGGTGTTTTTATTTGTATATGTTGTATCCTTTTGCCTGGACTAAGAGTCTACGCTCATGTGTTTGGATTTGAATACTGAGCCAAAGGCAGATCCTAATGCTGGCAGACCGAAACCTGCAATGAAGTGTGTTAAATTTTAAAAGAAAGTCGTTAACTCCTAAGCTAACGGGCTGAGTGTGCAGTCTGCCAGAGACTGGAGGAGAAACTGCTGGTTAAGGTCAGTCCCCAGGAGATGGTGGGAAGTGAGGAAGAATCCCAGCCCTGCTGTTGGGAGTCTGCAGATACAGGGGCTGCTGCACATGCAGCTCCACCGTCTCTTTTGGGCACCCAATTTAGTTTTTAACTTTTTAGTACTGGAGCTCTACTCTTTTGGGACGTTTATCTACCAGATTTTCTGCTTCTTCTTTTGTTGTGTCAAGGTCAAAGGCGCGAGCGCAGGACACCAGTGCTTGGACGTTGCTGGCGCGAACGACCATCCTGCGTGGGACTCATGGAGCAGCTGGCAGAGCCAGGGCTGTCGCGTGAGTGCTCGGATGATTCCTCCTCTTAGTTTGCAGGGCTGTTCTCTCTCCTGGCTGAAGAACGAGTTATGGCTATGCAGGTGCCCAGTTCTCCCCACTGAACCAGATCCTAGCACTCGAACGTGGTGAAGGGCCGCATCTCCTGCACACCCTTCATGGGGTGTCGAGGATGCCCAGCTCCCTGTGGGCTCGTGTGCTGGTGGCAGGTGGAGGCTCTGCCCTAACGCCTGGTGCTGTGAGACAGGGCTGGCTGAAGCCTGTTGCTTTTTAGAGCTGGGGCTGATTTTTCATGGCTGGAGAGCTCCGAGCCCTCTAGGAGCAGGGTGCGTGGGACTCCCATGGCCTCGAATCCCCAGAACCCCAGAGACTCTTCCTTACCCTTTCTGTTTATTTTTTATTTTTTTTTTAAAGGGGCAAAAACCCTAGCTAACAGGATTCTCTCACCCAAATCTGTGGGACTGGCTGCTTTGAAGAGACAATGATAAAACTGTCCCTCCTTTTTTCTCTCCAAACCGTTTTGCAATAAAGCAAAGGCGAGGGGAGCTTTGTGCAAGTTCCTAGGAGACAGAGGTGGCATGTGAGATGCATCTCCCCCTTGCTGGCTGCGTGGCGGGGAGAGCTGCAGGCTTGGCAGTGCCAGCAAGCAGCAATCCAGGCTGCTGTCTCAATGCCACCAAGCAGCCACGCTGTGAAGGAGGCAAGACCAGGGCCTTGCACCCACGTACATGCTCTGCGTGTCTCGAAAGACCCTTGGGACATGTGGGAGTGCAGAGCAGCTCCCTGGCTTGCTCCTCTCGTAGGGCTGCTTGGTGTTGAGCATCCAGCAGGTCAAGATGTGATGTGCTGGTCACTGATCAGCAGCTTTGCATGGGAGATCAAGGAGCTTTGCATGGGATGTGCCGGCAGAAAGTCTGTCTGGGCTTTCCTGGGCTGTAAATATCTCGGGGAGACAAGAAAAGCAACGGGCAGCCTTGGCTGCTTGCTTGGCCTGGCATCTCTTTGGGGTTCCTGCTGGTTGCCAAGGGTAAGGCTGAGCACCACAGTCCCAAGGGAGCCGAGTTTATTGTCTGGAGCCTTCGGAAAATAACGTGTCATTATGTGTCTCCCCTCTCGGCGCCCAAATGTGCCGTGGTTTATGGCAGCAGAAGTACAATAGGTGTCTCTTGGCCATGTTGAATTGGGCTGGCTGGAGAGCATCCCTGTGGTTGACTGTGGTTGTAGTTGTGCCCAAGGCCAGATGGGGACAATATCCACGAGGCAGCCAGAAGCGATGGTGCCACAGAGCCTGTGATGTCCCCTATGTCTCACCTCCCTGGCCCTCCACATCCAGCCCCTGTCTCTTCTCAACTCTCCTTTCCCTTTCTTTGGCAGGGACAGGGCAGAGGCCCTGCGTGCTGGAGCATGTCCTCTCGCTGCCAAAGGGACAGCGCGCCGCTGCGCAGCCCTCCCTGCTGAGGCGGAGGGAGCCGCCAGGGAGCAGGAGGAAGATCAGCCTCGCGCGAGTGAGAGGGAAAGGTGAGCAGGGCCTGGCGTGCGCAGGGCCGCGCGCTGGGGCCAGGATGGGGACATGCATGGGGCAGTTGTCCCCCCGGCAGCTGGTGCCGAGCACAGTGGCTGCCACCCTGGCAGCCCCCAGCCGGCCCCAGCTCGAGCCGGGGGAATGTGACTGCGGGTAACGACAAACCGTCTTCTGCTGTGCATGTAGCTTTGCTGTCACTGCTGGGATGGCTTGGATCCATCCTCGACCTCGTTCCTTGGGATAAGACTGGATCTTTGTGAGTGGATGAGCATCTGCCCTGAGCTTTTTGCGCGTGGCTCTGCTCCTGTGGTGCTGGGGGAGGGGGAGCAGCTTGGAGGAGCCCTCCTGTACAGGGCTCCAACTGCTCTCCCCAGCTCTAGCTCCTTCCTCTGCATTCTCTGGAGTTTGCCTTTGCCTCTGGATGCCCCAGCAAGCTGTGCAACCCCAGAGCCGGGGGGTTTGTCCCCCTCCCCGTCAGCTCGTTCCCAGGTCAGGGGCCTCTAAGGGACAGGGGAGGGCCGAGCAGCAGCCGCCTCCCTGCGTGTGGTGGCAGCGCGCGGGGCCAGCCCTGTTTGCTCAGGCAGGTGCGGCCGCCGTTCAAAATCCGCAGGGCCAATGGGAGCCGCGGCGCCGCCGCGCGCGGTGGTTGGACACGCGCTCCCTGGGAGCCCGGCAGCGCTGCTGCCTGTCGCT